CTGGACGTTCAATATTCTTGTGGAGTTTAGAATTTCATATATGAGGAAACATTAATCAAATAATCATGCCAATGAATGGATAATTACCAATGGAGATAAATAATGGGAAGGGTACATGGTTTTATGAGAGAAACTAAAAAAATAACTTGACTTAGACTTTGGGGTGAGTGATGGCTTCTTGGAGGGAGTAACACTTGGTCTGATGACCAGAAAGTGAATAGAAGTTAACCACATAGAGTCAAAATGGAGAGGAGTAAACAGTCTGGATGTACTAAACAGCATATGCAGTGAACAGCCTTTGATGTAGGGACATTTGAACAGAGACCTAAAAAAACAAAATGAGGAAGGCACAATGTAGGTATCTCATGTAAGCAATTTTTAGTCAAGGGAACAGCCAATTTAAAGGACCTGATGTGAGAGCTTCTTTAGCCTGCTTGAGAAATAGCAAGGAGACCAGTGTGACTGCAAGTCAATGACTCAGACAGAATATGATAGAAGATGAGGTAACCAGCACAGGAAATGAGGTTGCAGACAGACAGGAAGTAAGGGAGGCACCAGGGACTAGATAGAAAAACTTTGCACTCTTCCAAGTTCGTGGATAGCCTTTGAAGAGTTTTGGGCAGATCAGTGGCTTAGTCAGATTTACATTTTAAAGCAATTACTTTCATTGCTCTGTGGAGAACAGACCATGGGGAGGCAAGACTGAAGCAGGGACACCACTTAGGGGGCTATTGGGACGTTCCAAGCCAAAGATTATGGAGGATCAGGTGGTGACAGTTGAAGTGGTAGGTAATTGAGTTGCATGCCCATTTTGAAACTGGAGTCAGTAACATTAGAGATGGGTAGGAGTGTGAAAGAGAGATCTAGAATGACCCCAAAGTTTTTAGTAAATATTTGCAGCTGTAAGAATGGAAATATCATTTGCTGAAAATTTAGGGAAAAGATTGGAGTAAGAGCAGATTTAAGGAGTGTATCACAAACTGAGTTTTGAGACTAAAATTTTGAGATGCTTATTGGTTTCAGGTGGAGATATTGAGAGGGCAGTTTTTTTTTTTAATGAATCTGAAGTTCAAAGAGGAGGTTTGTGCTGTATGAATAATTTGGGAGGCAACAATTAACTGATGGATTCTAAAGCCACGAGAACTAAATACAATAACCTAACGACTGGATGTGGATGGAGAAGAGTAAAGATCTGAGAATGAGCTATGGAACACCCTAATATTTAGAGTTTGGGATTATTTTTGGGAAAGGTCCAGGAAAGAAGATCATAATGGGGTGGCCATTGAGGTGCAAAAAAACAAAAGGAGTATAGTGTTTCCAGGAAGCAAGTGTCCCTGAAAGAAGGGAATGATCACCTGTATCAAAAGCCGTTGATTAAGATAAAGACTGAGAATTGGCTATTGGATTTAGCCATGTAAAGTCACTGATGATCTTGACAAAAATAGTTACAGTGGAATGAGAAGGAAGAAAGCCTGATGGAGTTGGGTTCAAGAAATAATGGAGTGGAAAGAAGTAGAGGCAGCAAAAAAAGAAAACTCATTGTTGAACTTTTCCAGGAAAGGAGAACAAGTAGAAATAACTAATAGGGATGTGTGGATCCAGAAATCAAGCTACAAATAACAATTTTTTCAGCTCTTATTTATATTCAGAGTTGTGATCATAATATACAGGTAATTTTTATTTTTATTTTTATTTTTATTTGACTTTACATCATGTCATTTTCCTTATGGCCAATCTTCATAATTCTTGATGACTTTATAATACTCCATTTCATGTATTATTCTACCAAACATTCTTCTGCACTGGGCATTTGTGATGTTTCCAATTTTTGATTATACAAGATAGAAATAAACTTCTTGATGTCAATAGTTTTTCTTCCATTAGGATTATTTCCTGAGGGTACATTCTTCAAGTAAGATTACTAGTAAGTGTATAAACATTTTAAGTTATTCTGCTGCTTCCTTAAAGGCTTGTGCATTGACTTTTCCCTTATTCCCGGGATCTATCTTGTGAACTTTGAGCCTTCTCGCTATGTTTCTGTGGTTTCCTGTCTCTTTCCTTAAAATCTCTCTGGGCTACCTAATGCCTCCTCATCTCTCTTCCTCTTACTTTCTTCTCTGGTGGCTGTACAAGGACAGAAAAGTATCAAATTTAATAGACCAGTCATAGACAAGTTCTAGAATCTATTATCAATTAACTTGAGGGGGCAGGGCAGGGTCTGCTGGATTATGGGGTCTCAGACTCTCTGCACATTAGTCACTTCAGAACTTTGAAAACTCATGATGTCCAGGTTTTATCTCACATTAGTTAAAATAGACTCTCTGGGGATGGTGCCCAGGTATTCTTAAAAACTCACCAGTTCATTTTAATGAGCAGTCAAATTTGAGAACCAGTGGGTCAAAACCACTGTGGCAGGAAGCTTCTTGTCTGTTTTTCCCTCTTCCCTTACAAAGGACAGTCTTTCTAATCAGATCTCACTCAAGAATGAGGTTAGCGAATGCTGGTGGCCCTGCTATGCCTGAATCTGACTCAAGGTTTATCAGTTTGGTATTTACTGTCAGTGATTTTTGACCATTTGACCCACTGCAACATTTTATTCTTCATTTTCTAAAACTGTTGGCAGGATCTTTGCTCTTTTGGTTTCCCTAATATTTGATGCTGTAATTATGTGTTTAGTTTTCATGTTCCCTGGTAGATTTTATGCCACGGGTTACCCCACTAACCCAGTGCCGGGCACCAGGGGTGTGGAATAAATGTTTATTGAATGAATTAAAGAACAACAGAATGAAAAAGATTTTATTCTATAAATGGCTATAAACTAAAGTTGGATATCAAGTTCCTAGTAATAGACTGTTTTAGATCGTGGGGATCAATTTCTTTAGGATACCTAACAGAGACAGGCCATTCATATATATATATATGTATTCATGTGTATATGTATATATGTATGTATGTATAAGATAAATAAATAAATATATATACTGTCCTTGTCCATTCCTACCTGAAAATTTTTAGGGTCTAAACCTATAGCTGTTCTTCTCTTGCTTCTGTTGCTTTTCTGCAAGATTGACTGGGAGGTGAACCCTGTTTTCCCATTGACTTCCATAAAAAACAAATCAACATGACTTTCTACAGGGAAAAATGACCAATAGAGAAGAAAGAGTTTTGGTGAAAAGATGATCAGTCACCCTTTGACATGGAGGGTGATGATTCTTATTAGCATTGCTTTCTTTTCTGGAATAGTTTTGAAGTACTCTGAGACATGCATGGCATGCCCCCACCTTAGAGTCTCCTTGTGCATTGTTCCTGATCCCTCAATATCTACAGAACTCATGAAATTTCTCCTGCCTCTCACTCTCACTCCTCTAAGAGTTGGTGTCACCTTTCTCAGATTGTGAAGTATCTATAACCTTTAGTTATTCTTGTCTGAAAATCATTTGTGCCTATAGGCTCTGAAAGGAAAGGTATTGTACTGGAATCTGAAGAAATATATTTATTTTAAGAAATAGATGACAGTGTATTTTTTTCAGCTTCTCTTTGGTATATGTTTCTGCTACTTCATGTTGAGCTTTGGGATTCAGAAGGCAGTCATGTGGACATTTCTGGAGTCAGTTATTATAAAGTCGACTCATATAAGATGGACTTCTAAATTACTTGGTTATTCTATAAAGCTCCTTATTGAAGTCATTTAACAAAATACCATAGACTGGGTGGCTTAAACAACAGGAATTTATTTCGCACAGTTCTAGAGTCTGGGAAGTCCACGATCAAGGCACTGGTAGATTTGGTTCCTGGTAAGAACCCACTTCCTGGCTTGTAGATGGCTGCCTTCTCACTCTATCTTCACATGACCTTTCCTTGGTGTATGTATGGAGAGAGAGAAAGATCCCTCTCATGTCTCTTCTTATTAGGGCACTAATCCCAATCATGAGGGCTCTGCCCTCATGACCTAATTACCTCTCAAAGGCTTTATCCTCAAATACTGAGGAGTAGGGCTTCAACATATGAATTTGTTCAGTCTATAACATCCCCCATGGAAAAGTGATGATATGCCCCACAGATGAACCAGATAAAAACCAGGGCAATATTCCTCAGTTCAAGTTCAGTAAACTTCATCTCTTTGTGGTTAACCCAGTCCAGTCCAGTGCTTTCCTTAATAGCTCAGAGTCCTTTTCAAGCAAATGAGCAAAATACACAGTTAATACATAAATCCCTTGGGTTTCTAAGGTAGTGTGCCAGATCCTGTTTAAGAAGTATTACACTCCCCCCACCCACCCTCCCTAACGAAACAGTATGCATTCCTGAACATCAGATTGTTGCACTCATGTCACCCATCACAGCACCTCTGTTTGCCATCAGATGTGACTATTTATAGAAGCAGGGAAATCGTTCAATTTGAGAAATTTAGAGTTATATGGGTGAAAGCCCTACTGAAGTAGGAAAAGTGTGAATTGGTAGCAATTTATTATGCTTTGAGTACACAGTGACTTAGAGTAAGTTTTAAGAAGCCTCTGCCTTAGAGTATAACTTACCCATTACTGATACAAATATGTCTTCAAACAGTCTCTAAAGTATGTTAATACTACTATCCTTCTTAGCTAATTTGCTAAGTAGAGGCAACCTTTAATAGCATTTTGGTCTTGATTGCCATGGAATCTGCAGTGTTGGGCCTGGATAAATATGGCCTTACATTGAACAATTTGAGGGAGGGATTTTTCTTCATTTGTTTAATATGTTTCACAGATTACCACAACTATGGATAAAGCTTTCATAGGCCTCATGTCTGTTTTAGTGATGTCTGAGACAAAGTTTTTCTAAACACCTGTTCTGTTTCTAGAATTTTGATAGGCCCAACACCAGCCATATTTTCAGGGGTAAAATGAGAAGGGTTTAAACTCTGTGGGTGCACTTACTTTCTTGCATCCAAAAATCTAAATTTGAGATCTCTCCCCTTTATGCCTGAAAAGAAACCTGAAGTCAGGTGGGTCTTTTCCTTCCAGGAGAATGCCGTGAACGGAGAGCACCTGTGGCTGGAGACCAACGTCTCAGGAGACCTGTGTTACCTGGGAGAGGAGAACTGCCAAGTCAGATTTGCAGTGAGTGTGCTCCTCGGACCTCTGGGCTCTCACCTTCCCTGGGGAAGGCTGCCAAGCTGAGTCTTCCAGCAGCATTGAAGGGCCACCATGCCCGAATCTCCAAGGAGAGGTTTGAAAGAGCCTGTCCCTTGTGAGACAGTTGACAGTTAACATGGCTTCCGGTTTTAATGGCCTCAGGGCTTGGCTCTGCAGGTTAAACTTTGGTAGAATGTGCTATTTTCTGATGATTCCCTGGATTGGTTTTATTTGTGTGTTGGGGGTGGGGGAGAGGGTGAAGGTGCATGAGTGATTGCTTCTGGAGGGGGTGTCTGTGTGGGGAGAGGTCTGTGTGTGGAGGAAGCGTATTGGTGGGAGGGGGCGACTTGCTTGTAGAGAGAGGAGTGTGTACGGCGGGGCGGTGTTCCTGGTGCATGAAAACGGGGAAGGTGAAACACCTGTGTGGCGGTGGGTGCGGGCCAGCAAATACAGGCATAGGTCGTTTGGTTGTGCTTCGCTTTACTGGGCTTTGCAGACACTGCGTTTTGGGTTTTTTGTTTGTTTGTTTTTTTTACAGATTAAAGGTTTGTAGCAACCCTGCCTTGACGCCATTTTTTCCAACAGCATTTGCTGACTTTGTGTCTGTGCCGCATTTTGGCAATTCTCACAGTATTTCAAACTTTCGTTATTTGTTATGGTCGTCTGTGATCGGTGATTATGACTGGCAGAAAGCAGAGATTTAATGGTTAGCTCTCGTAGCAATGAAGTATTTTTTAATTAAGGTCTGTACTTTTTTTTAGACATAATGGCATTGCACACTTAATAGACTACAGAGTAGTGTAAATAATAACTTTCCTATGCTATGCACTGGGAAGCAAAAGAAATTCATTTGACTCGTTTTATTGTGATACTTTATGAACTTGTCTGGAACTGAACCCACGATATCTCTGAGGTATGCCTGCAATTCGGATCAAGTGTGGAGGATAAAATTCTAGAAACTGGACAATTAACAGATACATTGGAATAGTCCATGCTTTTAAAAATTTGCTTTGTATCCTTATTTAGAACCATCAGTTTAAATGTCAAGGTTGTCTTTATGTTTTGTGAAAAGAGCATGGTTGCCAGGCATTAAGTTGTGAGGAACTAAAATTTCATTGTTGACAAAGTGAAGTTAACATTTTTGAGTAATTCAAAATTACTGGTTTGAAAAGAGAGTAACGGGAAACCTAGAATAGTAAAGAAGAAAGACAAAATGAGTTCTTTTATATTTGGGGAAATGGGCCTTGTAAATGGCATCTAATACATTTTTTTCTTTTTCAGTATGTTTGTTTATTACATGAAAGAAAGATTTGGGGCAAAATGCAGGGCTTTGGAATTACAAATGAATATGTTTCTACCAATGACTAATAAGGAAGAAATTGAGTTTCTGCTAAAGCCTTTAGAAAAATCTAGCCCTCAAGGACTTTTATCAGTCTGGCTGGAATTGCAAAGCTGGAGGAACGAAACTTTAAAAATTGCATTAGCTGTTCTGACGACTGGTTTATAGGTTTTGTGTGGAACCTTTCGTAAGAGTTTAGAGGACCAGGATTTGTTTGAGTAATATTAGGAATAGAGATCAGTGAAAGGCCCACCAGTACAGGATCTCAATTTGAATCTCACTGTTAGCAATCGCTGTGTGATATTGAGAACTCCTGTCCTTTGGGCATTGGCTACCTTCTTAGAAAAAGAGAGTGGAATGAAATTATTTTAAATTTTGCTCCTAACTCGGATCTGTACTTGGGTGTTTGCATTTCTCTTAATCTTGTAAATTCAACTGATTTAAATATCAGGATTTCAACTTTATGCATATGTATTTTGAATTAAAGTATAATTGCATGAAATTTGATTAAATTAACCAAAAACCAAGAGATGCTCAGCTGTTTGGACTGAAATGCTATAAATAATGAATTAACATTAGGATCTCAGTTAATTGTGTAAACACTGGTCTTGGGATATCAGATAATATAAAATGGAAAAAATGAAAGCCAATTTTACTTGTCTGTGCTTTTGAACAATTTCTGCTATTACTGTAATGGAGTTCTGCATCATTCCCAAATTACTCCCTTTGATCCTTTCCTGGTCGTCTTTTAGGGTCAGCCACATATTACCTCTCTTGGCAAATATATTCGCAAATACATATATTCTCCTAAACAGCATCGCTATCCACCAACTGATTATAACTTGGTCACCATTATCTCTACACCAGGAAAAATAACAAAGAATAAGGGAAATTGTAAGTATAAGTAGGAGACAACAGAGGTATGAATATTCCTGGTGCTCTTCTGAATCTTTCTCCAAATTTCATCTCCAATACTCAGCTCTATTAACTCACTTTACAAAGTGTCTGGAAGATGGAGAGCTCTCCTCCAAAAAAAGGTTGTTGAAAGAAGGAATGAATCAGTGAGGAAGCAGAAGATCTGTTTCCTCATTATAGGCTCCTGAAGGCTCAGTTTCTTCACCTATAGAGTGGGGGTAGTGTTTGGAGCATTATATGAGGTAATGCCTTGAAAGGATTTACTTGCCATAGCAACTGACACAATGAATTAAAAATGAAAAGAAAACAGAAAAGAGAGAAGCAGACAATTCACAAAAGAACTACCAATGGCCAATATATATATATGAAAAATATTTTAAAAAGGCACCCAAAATAAAACAACTTATGAGGAGTCAACGTCACGTGCCCATTGAATTAGCAAAGAATTACAAAATGATAATACCTGCTGGTTAGTTTAAGCCTAAATGGGTATTCTCATTGTCAGCTGGTAGGAGTATAAATTGATACACAGCTGACTCTTGTACAACATGGGTTTGAACCATGTAGGTCCACTTACATGTGAACTATTTCTGATCAATACAGTATAGTACTATAAATACAGTAAATTATTTTCTCTTACGATTTTAAAAAATATTTTCTACAACTTACTGTATTATAAGCATACAGTATATAGCATACAAAATACATGTTAATCGACTGTTTATGTTATCAGTAAGGCTTCCAGTCAAGAGCAGGCTATAGTAGTTAAGTTTTGGGGAGTCAGGATTATATGTGGATTTTTGCCTATACAGGGGGTTGGTGCCCCTAACCCCCACATTGTCCAAGGGTCAACTGTACTTCAGAAAATTGTCAGTATGTAGTGAAAGCATTACAAATCTAGCTCGCTCTCTTTCATTTGGGCATCATATTTGGTGGGGGGAGGGGGACATTGGCAAGAAGGAAAACACCGGAAGGAGTGTGCTCAACTTGGTTCAGGGTAAGGAACTTTGTAGTAGGAGGAAGAGGGAAATAACCTGGATTGCAAAAGAGTATTAATGAGGAGAGGTAGAGAACTGACCTCTTCCAGTGTTGAAAGACCTGCCTTGAAGAAGAGGAAAGGGTCTTGCTCTCCATAGTGAGGAAGGTAGAACTAAATTCTAGATATAGAATCCACTGACTCCAGCAGTGAATCTTATATGTATCATAAACATCACCTGGAAAACCTGTTAACAGTGTAGATTACTGTTTCTCTTCTTGCTCCAAATGCTAATTAAATATGCCAGAGTTGGACTTGGGAATCTGATTTTAACAAGCACCTCAAATAACTATGCTACAGATGGTCCACAGACTTAACTTTGAGAAATACTCTATTATAAGGAAGGACTTTAACAACCAGAGCTGTCCAGCAAGAGATCAAGGTTTCTGGAGAGAGAGGCTCAAACGAAGTGTTTACCAACAAGTTGGATGGCCATCTTTCAAGGATGCTGTGTGTTGTGGGGGTGCACATCTGCTTTGGGCAAGGGGTTAGGCAAGTTAATCTCCAAGAGAGCCTCCAGTTTAAATGTTCTATTTGCAGCTTTCTTAGTTGAACAACCGTTTTATAAGAAGAAAGCATGTGCAAATGGATTATGCATTATATTCTCCTTTCTTTCAATGAAGCACCTTTGAAGATAGCCAACCTGTTGAGATAAGGACCAAATTACCTTTACCAGGTACTACCTGCGGGCTCCTAAACAATGTGCAGGCAGAACATTCGGAGGAGGAGTGAGTCCATTACCAAAGATGTGCCTTTCCCTCCTCACCTTGTTTTAGCAAAGCAAATGTCATGGGTAGAAGTTAAGAGAAGGGAGAGATCAGTGTGGGTTGAGGTAGACAGAGGTGGCTTCATGGGAGTGGGGCTTGAGCACAGTTTGAAAGATGGGTAAGATTTACATAAGTGGAGTGGGGCAGGAGAACATTCAGGAAGGGAGAGGAACATTAGCAAACTCAGAGACCGGAACAAGTGTTGAACAAGGGAGGAGGCGATCATCAGACATGCATGAGCACACCAGAGGGCATGTGCTAGGTAAGAATGGAAAAAAGGACAGATGGGGGCTGTGTGTGTCCATGTCTTCCAAACTGAAACTTGGAGTGCATATTATAAATGCCTGTGGCTTAGGAAGCCTGGCCATATAATAAATCGTCTAAAGCAAGACCATTTTGAGGGTGAAAGAAGCTGCTGGTAGTAAGGTGCCATAACATTAAGTATAAACCAGAACTGCATCAGGGACACTGAGACAGTCACCCTAACTTGTAGGGACATTGCAGTAGTCTCTTTAAAACCAAAGCTGTCCTGCAAATCCAGGACTTCCTGCTGCCATATGGACTGATATTTGGGGCTGGTGTTGGAGGGTATTGAAAGCAAGGCAGTGACGTCATAAGGACACAAAGACGTTTGTAGGAGAGTTTGCTCCAAAGCCTTGGGGCTGAACCAGATGACCTTTAAAATCCTTCATCTTCTGCATTTCTCTAGTGGCAACATTTAATACTGCAGAACGTCTGTGAGCAGAAATTTAATGGGATTAAAGTTGTTCCTAAATCAGTGACAGTCCCAAAATTAGTAACTGTTTCTTTTTCTGGAGGAGAAAGGGATGCAGCAGTAATGAAATTGGAGCAGAAGGATCACTGTTTCCCGACACAATCATGGGGGGGATAAAACTGAAAATTCCAACTAGGACCACTGTCGTTTGGT